TCTATTGGTGAGTGTTGTGTTGCACGATACATACCGACACACATACACACGCTGGCACACACATACACTCGCTGGCACACACATACACACGCTGACACACACATACACACGCTGGCACACACATACGGCGTATGACTTCGTTATCCAATCAAGTCACTAAATGTTAATGATTATGGTAAATGAGAAACCTAGATACTGAGATAATTTGACTTCTAAAGAATACCCGGTAAATGACTAGGTCAAAGTCATAAGTATCTTGAACGGTCAATGATAATAAATAGCCACTGACGATGACTAACGCTGAACTAAAGGTCACATGATCAGACTACATGCAACATACCAGTGTAGACACAGATGTATAGTTGATCAGTATTAACGTGATCAGGTATCACACTTATAACCCTTGCTAGATGATATATAATGACAAATATTGATGGGTTTAGTTCCAAACATAATTTCTGGAAAGGTCATAAGTATACAGGAGTTAAATAGACTGTCATGTCTGACTACATTAAATGATTAAAGGGCGCACGGAAATGGCTACAATATTCAACTGCAGTTCTGCGAGCAATAGGTGACGGCAATAACAGTATGAGTCAACAGGAATTAACAGGAGTCCACAGAGGCCAGCTTGTACCAACATGAGTTAGCAAATATCAACAGTCAACAGACGTCTATAGGAGTCAGGCCTAGTGCAATGGGTTATTTTAGGACATGAGGGGTCAAAATGAGTCAACAGATGTGATTTGGAGTTATCATGTGTCAATATGGTCAACGGGGTCACTCTGAATCAGAGGGGAACAGAATTTTACAGAAGTGAGAATGAGTTGACTGCCTCACCAGTGGTCAATTTGCGTCAACTGGCTCACAAGTGGTTAACATGATTTAACCGGCTCATTAGTGGTCAATATGAGTTGATTTGCTCACAAGTGGCCAATATGAGTCAACTGGGCTCATCATTGATCCGTATGAGTTGACAGGAATCACAGTGGGTCAACGGTTCTCCACAAGGAGCAACAGGAGTCAACAGGGGTCAACTGAAATAAGAGTCATCAGGATTTTCTGCTCAGTATAATCAAAATTGGATCTAATCAAAGGAAAGTGGCATGCAAGATCTCACTGGAGTAAGTACAAGAAAACACTGTCTCAGGACCACAAATCAATATGAATCAATACTGGTGACAAAGAATGTACTTTACTGAGTGTCAGTACAAAGTGCCTTTGACACCAACGTCCAGGCATGCGATGTGATACGATCTTCACCCCGATACACAGCCCTGGCCACACTACAGTACGGATCAATATCAGAGTACGACATTATGTGCTGGAAGTGACTGTCTGTCCGAGACACAGTTTTGTCCTGTGAAAATAGTCACAGCTAATAGAAATTTATTTTCACAATGGTGCAGTGGTGTGTGCATTAGAGCAGCAGTCATCTTCTTATATCCAAACCTGAGCAGTCAGTGCGTGTGTAAAGATGCCTGATTCACCGTCTGTAGTCCCGGATCCTGGTTCATATTGTACTGATTAAGTTCGCCCAGGAGAGAATTATTTCCACATTCATGTTTTGGTTTATATTTCAAAGAAAAGAAATTCCTTAATTCCTAAATTGAACTTTATTAAAACTATTTGTAGCAACTATCGGTTCAATTTCGCCTCAATATATTGGGAAACATGAGATCTGATTTGTTTTCATATACATACAATTCATGGCGGCAGTGATCAGCCGTCCGGGTACTGGTAGGCTCAGTGTGAGGTCAGTATATACCGTAAGCCAGTATACATCTGGTGCAAAACAAAATCAATATCGCTGTAGTCTAAACGTAAAACGTGACATTATATGCATACCATTTTACGTCTTATTGATGTATTTTCCCAAAATGGACACTAAGGTTTGTGTATTCACAGTGCCGTTCTTCGAATCCAATACTGAATTACTTAAGAGCACTAATAATTGAATCCGGAGCGACCAGTCAACATATTTACCACAAGACCCACCCACCACCTATTTGTGAGCGTGTCACCTGCCGAACATGTACTATTGAATCTCACTTCGACCTTTTCCCCAGAACTGTGCTCTTGAGATCAGGAACTCATTACATATGAACAAACTGACACCTGGAAACCAGCGCGAGCTTGTAATTGGTGAAGCTGTTGTGCATGCACCAACATAGAGCGCTTAAAGAAATCAAGACATCTTATATAGAGTGACAAAAGTATGCAATGAAACTGTTACTGAATTAATTTATGCATAATATATTTCCAAATAAAGACCTAATTTGTGTCGGGATGGCGAGCTGAGCCGACCGTCGGTCAACGGTCAGCGGAGAAGGGGATACAGTCAGTGGACGCGACGATCCTTGTTTTTCGACCCGGGGTCGGAATTTACAGACTGTAAAGTATCCAGTCCAAACCCGTTCAGCAGCGTGTGGATAACTGCACAAGTTGTAGTGGTACCGTTGTTATTAACTATGAATATGACACAGACTATACACTGTTAAGTATACAATTGTATGCCCATTTTCCAGGGGAATTATGAAGACCGGGAACTACGTATCAGTGCACACTAATGGTGTGATATCACACATACGTCGGAGTGTAGGCTGTGGGAAATATATTTGAAACAAATATATATATATACAAAAAAGCCCAGTCAAGAATATATGGGAAGTCTAGATTTCCACAGTTCCGAAAGTCTCAGGGCTCCTTTTTAATATATGTTATGATTATTATTTATGAACGGTTGTTTTCTGTAAAATAAGTTCACTTCATAGCCTTCACTGGCTCCCTGTGGAACATCGTATCACCTACAAGCTCCTTTGTATTGTCTTCTAGCCTCTGTCCGGTCAGGCTCCTCCCTCCATACCTGATCTGAATAAAGCCTACACACCATGCTAGACCTCTACGTTCTCAAACCAAAGCCCTGCTCCATGTTCCCATGGTAAAAACATCCCGCTATGGGGAGAGAACATTTGCATATTCAGCGACTTAAGCCTGGAACTCTCTGCACCAGTACCTCAATAACTGTGAGTCATTGTCATCGTTTAAGACCCAACTCAAAACCTTCATGTTCAGACTTGCCTTCTCTGTGTAACCTCTGTCATCTCCTCTCGGACATGTGCGCTCAGAGCATGTACTGTGCATGGATTCAGCGCGTTACAAGTGAACTATTGTTATTCATAGACTAGATGTTAGTCAATGGGAAGACATATACGCCCCGGTGCTCCATCTAGTTCAGCATATCTATCTGTCGGAATAACGCGTAACTAATACAGCCATGTGGCCAAATTATTGCGAAGTTTAGTCCGTCGGTATTTACACTGTCTTAATTTGTACGCAACATCACATTCTCTTTCTCATCATGAAGTTTGCATAATTTAAAGTTAAATGTCTATGGTCCTCAGATGCTGAGTTTTTACACGGCGTCCAAATGTTGCAATTCTGTACTGCGGCCTTGTTAAGTGGCAAACAGTACAATGTGTTTACCGTTAGTCAGGATACTACTGCTCGTCTTCAGGGGAATTTTGTTGGAATGGATTTCATTCAGTAAAACTTTGACCTGTTCAGCCAGTTTATTCGTAAATTGGCAAATATTCGCTTTATCAGAGCTGCAGTGAGATACATGTTGTTTTGGTTGTCATGTGTTTGTTATTTGGCTAAAACAGCACTCAAAATCTAATACCTGCAATCAACCGAGACACCAGGTCTGGACACCCAGTGTCTCTCCCAAGCAAGGGCTAGTGGGGACCTTGTTATCTAACTGGGCTGTACTGTGATAAGGTCAACGTTTCGCCTTCTGACTTTGACAAACTGGAGTTACTTTCACCAGTCATGTTATTCTGCAATGTAATATTTTCTTTTTTCTTTCTGGTAACACCAGCTCATAGGCTGATTTAAGTTAGATGTTGTACGATATAATATATTTATGGGAACTGCGTACTTTTTTATTCAATACAACATGAAACAAAAATCAATTTGGAATTCCTGCCGTCCTCCGAGTATTAAAATTCAGAATGCTAGAATAGGAAACTGAGTGGAATGTGATTACTGTCAGACGAAAGTCTTCAGTATCGCTCATGTTGTACCCCATAGTGCTCCAGATAGTGGAAGTTCGTATCAAAGATCTCGTAATGCATGCTGTGCAGGGAACTGTGTTTTTCACAGAATTGTGACTCGCATGAACCTATACATTGGCTTACTGAATTGTGAGTTAAATGATTCCATCTATTTATTTAATTGTGGGTTAAATCGCTTCACATTTGCCCACATAATATTGAGTTAAATGATCAGTCTACTGGCTACCAAATTCCCGGAGTACTTCTCTTTTTATCGAGTTTAAAATAACTGACAAGGCCCACTGAACGATTTCGAGACGGGCTATACATCATGTTCTTTTCCCAATGATGTCGAATCAACGCTGTCAGCGGGAGCAATAGATTGATGGGTGACCACCTCAGTGATACTGAATCATATCATGTTATAACACGAGTTGTGTCAAGTTCCATATACCTTAGTTCGACCAGAAGTACATGGCTACCCTGAATGGTTTGGCGAATTGCACCTTGTTGACTTGTATCATATTCCAGCTATATAGCGACGTGGAGACACCATGCTGAACATATTTCACATATTGGGCACAGAAGCCGGGCCTTCGGCCTGACAGGCAAACACTTAAACCACAAGGCTACCCAACTCCCCAAACCCCCACCCCTGTTTGAACACCATCGAGCTATATTTTGGTATTTATGTTCAAAGACGAAACTATAAAATGGTTACTAACTGGTGACATTCTCCCTGTAGTTTTGTATTATATTAATACAACGTTTCCAATGTGTCATCATTGGTGTTCCATTCGTGTAAATTTTCAATTGAATTTGTTTTATCAGATACGTCATGACTAATTATTTTCTGCCTTTGATGTTTATTCATTATATTTAAAACCCTGACGTTTTAATAACTGAAGAATATATTTTAATGACTGTGTAATCATGTGCTTGCAGCATATTCTGGTGTATCGTTGTCATGGTGATGGCCATTCTGCTTGTGACGGTCATCTACTGCCAGATGTCGGATTTCTACCGTTACCCTACCGTGACCAGTGTCAACGTCAGGTACGTCGACGAGGAGGACTTCCCCGCCGTCACCATCTGTGATCTCAACGTTTTTAACAAACATTTTATGGATAAAATGGATAAACGCACGCAGATGGCCATGCCCTTACCTGACTGAAATATCAGGCATATTTCATCTTGTTGGGAAAATATTACTGGACAAAATTCTGAAAAATGAAGGAATACCACCAACGAATGAAACTGCAGACGACGTTGTCGACGCATTACTCGACGACGTGCAGAAACTAGTGGTTGGATCGGGGTTAAAGTGTGCATGGGGGGATTACTATTGGGAAGACTGTGGGGATGCTCTGACCACACGGATTACAGAAATGGGTTTGTGTTTTACAATAAATACTCGGAACCTCACTCGTCGGAGTAATGGACAAAAAATGAATGCGGTTGGAAACTCCTTACGTGGCCTGAGTGCTCTGGTGACCACGGTCAGGGATGATATACCTTATCGTCTATACCAGTTTGAAGGATTTAAGGTAAGTTGTGGTACGCATTAATAGTCATCGGTCCATGAAATAGTATAATCTCTAAGAGGTTGCATAATTCATATTAATCGTTTACTGTCTGTGGCCTTCCACTTGATGGATATTACGATCAGACATTCCTGAGATGTTACTTGTTTGCGTGTGCGTTTCCTATACAGAGATAATGAAGAATGATGGAGTTCCATTGAGTTAACGTCTTTATTGTTTCGATGTGACGCTTAGGTACACAAGCTGGTATATTACCTGTCACCTGTTTGACAATGTTACTGGCATCTGAGCCACATATTGCAAAAACGGAACATATAAAGTCCTTAAGTCTACATGTTTTCCTATGACAGCTCGATATATTTAGTATATGTTTTATTCATCAATATTATTAATGTTAAGCGAAAACGAACTCAGATGTCTGCGTTCCCATACCAAGGACCCAATAAATCTACACTCGACAGACGCATGTTAGATCACATCATGTATATGTCTGAATTACAAACATGTTGGTGAAACCCTGCTACTCGAATATTTTAGTTATGCTAAAATGTTAGTGTACAGTTTGTGATAAGAGGAAGTGACTTTGATTCACAATTATAAGGTCAAGTGACTTGACTTATCTCGGTTAATCAGATTTTCAATGTTGATCTGTGGAATCAAGAATACAAATTATACCATAAATATACAGATAGAGCCAGTGTCACGTAAAAGGCGCTGTCCATGTGAATTACCAGGCGGATATATCAAGGAGATTGTGAGTGCAGTGAGGCGAGGGTTATGAGTCTGTCTCCAGTAATCTGCGAGATGATGTGATAATCTAGTGCTGCCTCAAGAGATAAATAGTTCAACGTTGAAACGTCTGTCTCACCGATGTGAATGACAACGTAGGCGGACTATGTGCCGTATATAAGCCGTTGCGAAGCAACACTACACTAGTCCTGACACGGTGTGAACAATGCTGATTATGACGTATTCGATCAACATTGTTTCAATCATTGACAGGTTGAACAATGAAGGCCAAACAACAAGAAACTATACATAAAACGTAACCTATTTAGAACACCCAATTCAAACATTCCCGCTCTATATACTTTTTATGATGTAACACGTTCAAGGAATGACCTATAATGGAGCTTCGCACAAACAGGTAACCAGATCACCTCTCAGAACATACAGGAATGGTCAGTTCCTGATATTACGTCATTAATCAATATTGAGTTATACAGCAATACGGACCGAAATGCACCCTGACATACATTTTATTACGTCACTGATTAGTCTCATTGCAGTGAGTCAGTAATTACAGCACCAAAGAGCCCCATGAAATGGGTTGTAGTGTTTCCGACCCCCTTATGAAAATATATTATGTTACTCGCGACCTGTTTAATACTGTGTTTAAGCCTGTGAGAAACAGTGATGTTGAATCACATGATGATACTGAAAAACGACATCTTTTGCAAGCTATTATAAATATAACCTTAAGAGCTCCCTGACTTACAACTATCGATAATAATGTTTTGCACGTCCATCAGTGCAACGATGACATTATCTGTTTTCAACTCTCCAGAAGTTTGAACTGTGAAATATGAGAGTTATCGATTGCGGTTGCTGTGTTAGATTACTTGCACAGTTTGCGTATGGGCGTTATCTGTTCTTTATGAAGATGATTTATAATAGAAAAATGATAAAACATTTACTGAAAACTGTTGAGATATATTTTAGTTTGTGGAGCATCTCGAGTCATGGAACATCAATTCTCATGTATCTTAAAGTTTCACATTGAATTTCATGGGAAACGACTGCATACATTGAAAACATTGTCAATAGTTTGTACCATGTACATATTCACATGGGCATCAGTTAAAGGTTGCATTTACTTTTTTGGTCCAAACAAGCGATCATACCCGAACATACTGGAATGTTCATTTAAGACACGTGCTTCAAACAATATCTCAAAAGGCACCAAGTATACTGAGTAAAATAATTATGATTGTAAGTTACCGGCATGCATGACGATGCCATGTCGCAACATCGGTGCTAACCTGAACATAAACCTTCTCGGTGATGATCGGTAAAGACCAGTGACCGTGAGGGTCGAGTCCTGATTCATCTGGCTCCGGAATAACCTCAACTTGAGGACATGGAGTATGGTTCACTGGTCTGATGACAGTCGCTCTCTTCTATGCGTTGCAGTCGGCCAGAACCCGGGGCACTAAATGGTCAGAGATGTCAACAGTCAGTACTGGGCTGTCCCACATGTTGATTACCATCCCGATTTTCATGGATGACAACGCTAGATCTCATCATCGACCTCTTGCAGCAGAACGCCTTGTCATTATCCTGGACGCCAAGTCCGTGCTAAAGATGTTACCTCTCAAAGTCAGTTCCAAAACGCAGGAGCAGGAGAGTGACAATTCCATGTTTGATTGCAATCATAACTGATGTGAGTGAGTGAGTGATTTGAAATTTAAAGTCACATCGGCAGTATTACGGCCATATCTAGACTTTGACAATTTCATATAAAAGTTTACTTAATCAATGTAAAGACCTGTCAACGAAGGACAGTAAAATAGCTATACCATCACAGATGAACATTTAAAACTGGCATGCAATCATAAAACACGATAACACTACAGAGAACCATATAACATGGACAAAAGATCGCCAGCCACTGAAGGTAGATCACCATTCTAGGGACCATGGGGACTTACAGTACCTTTGCTACCTGCATGGACCCCAGCTGGATTTACACCTTCCCCGCAGTCATTGGCGATAATTGGAACGCTTAGCCAAAAATTAAAATCACATATACTGCGTTTTAAAACTCATGGCATGCATAAAAATACTTCAAACTATGTGGCACTTAATTACATACCCTCGTAGGGGCTGAAGGTAACAATTGTTTTACGTTACAACAAACCCCTCGAGGGTATAGCCGCATACAATCAGTAATATATTATACCACTATTAATTTTAAAAATATTACTATGCACGTCAAAGCTTATAAATAAAAGCAATTTCCTTAAAAAATGTAAGAATTAAATGAGAGCTGATATTGTTAAAAATTCCTTCATTTTTGAAGCTCTGAAATATTTATCCCTTGTGATGGAAAATTCAATACAATCAAGCAGGACATGCTCGACTGTAATTCTTTCATCACAAGGGATATAAAATGAAGGATCCGCTCCTTCTAATACACATTTATGACTAAACCTGTTATGTCCAATACCGCATCGCCTTAAATAACCTCACCAAATATGGACTGACAACCCAAGTAGGTGCGGTCAACAGTTGGTTTTATTGCATGCAGTTTATTGATACCAACTTGAGTGTCCCACTTCTTTTGCATTAGATGACGGACAGAACTGCTGTGACCTGCAGCAGACAACAACGATCGTCTCTATGGTAACAGCTTGTGCATACTGATTCTTTAACTCACACATAAATTAAATTTACATATTGTGCCAATCGCAAAAAAAAGAAAGTTGTTAATTGTATAGAATTTGTACACAGATCGCTGGCATCTAATGAGACGACTGAGCTGGTCTTACTGCCAGCTCTCAAGTCCATCTTAATCACTCAAGTGGACTTTTTAACTATTGTATTTTATGTTTCGGAGGTGAATATTAACGTTATCCCTATACCAGCACGATTTACGGTAGGCAACAATAAGTGGCAATTCATGCTTCCAGTCCCACTTGGCTAGCGGACTAGTTTCGTTTCTTTCACATGAATAATAATACAATTTGTGAACACGTCTATTTTATAACTGCAACGTTCGCGGTATCTCACTGGTATGCCCTTCAAATGATGTATTCGTTATTCACCGCAAGTGATGTATGCTACTGGATAATTCATTGGAAGAGCAACTGGTCCATCTTCCTAGTCATATTATTGAGATATGCCATGCACTGAGTGCTAGATATCACTGGTTGTTCCCTAGCTACACATGGGTGGCATATATTGTGTAGCCAGATGGTGCAGAGGAACACGCTAGTGGAACACCCCAGTGGAACACTGACAAGTCATGTGTTTACGTTTGGCATCACTCACAACTCCTTATTAATTCTGAAAGCATTTATATTCCGTGTCCATAAATGTGGGTTCAATGTATATATCTTTATATCTCGGACTAAAATTGATACGGTAACACCCTCATATACATACTAGTTGATGGGGCGGTGGGGTAGCCTGGGGGTTAACGCGTCCGCTCGTCCCCACATGGGTGCAATGTGTGAAGCTCATTTATCGTGCTGGAATATTGCTAAAACCATATGCACTCACTACCAGCTCATACTTACAGAATCCGAATTATCAAGACATATCCGTCACATTTTGCTTGTATAAAGAATTCATATTGCGCACATTGTGAACTTCATTATTGTATCAAGTGCTACATGTAACTTCTCTGTGTCTATGTATATGCAACTTATCTGTGCCGACGTAATGTATTGCTCGAGCGGACTTGCTGGTATATCCACTATTCCCATAGCAAAACTGCTGTTTTTCACTTAAAGTAGTCCCTCTGCATACCGTGTGTACCTAATGAAGCAGATATCTTTTTGTTCGCTGTTTCATAACTTGTTTTATAATGTGTATTACCTGCATGTATACTATCATAAATGCATGCATTTGTTTGACTGAAGTTTACTGAAGGTTGAGTTGTATCCTTTGGGAATGCTAAGAAAACTCGACCGAAGTATCAATTGTTTTGACCTCACTATGTCTCCGTGTTTTAACTCGAGTTTGTGGAGTTCATATATACTGGAATACAATCCAAAGTCGAATTAAACCAAACCCGACTCATTCACTCACAATATGTTATATGTTCATGATATCGCCCATCTGATGCTGACAGGTTGTCCTCCACGACCACGATGAGGATCCACTTCCGCAGTCCCGGGGATTCGTCGTCGGTGCTAACTGCTCCTCGGAGGTCGAAATCACCAAGACTGTCGTAAGTTCAGACTTAATTCATCTATCAGCCTTGTCAGTTGTGTACAAAACATACAGCGTTTGAAACAAATGTATAGTCAGTGTTGTCACTGGTACAGTATATGTGATAAAACTTCAAAAACACATCATTGTCAGATGGGCTAATTCGTTATGACTTGCCAACGGTGTTGTATGTTAGCACACACAAAAACAAGAAGCCTTATATGGGAACCACTTGGGAAATCAGAGGCATATATATATACGAGGATAATTCTGTGTGATTATTTTAAAAGATTGTCCTATCCACAGCGACGCTAGATCTGTATGTTGTATGCCCTTAGTGTACAGATAGTGTCTCTGACACTCCGGAATGGTCTGCTTTGTGTGTTGAACATAACTGAAATATGAACACACGATCGCAGTGAACAGGAGGATCGTGCCTCTGAGGCGCATAGTCAAAGAACGTCAGTATCAACGCGACTGGTGTAATCGGGAATATGGTGCCTCACACATGTTCAGGCAACCACACTGCGTTCAAGAACCTAACATGCTTACCACAGCATAGCGCATTCGTCAAAAGATTGCAGGTTTATATAATGCATAACCTATAATATCGATGTCTTAGTTAGAATAAAGGCTCATCGATATGTTCCTTGAGATTATCTGCATATGCGAGTTTTCAGTTCACAATAAATGTAATTTATCGGATCCTCAAAATGGCATTTCAAAAGCAACGCACTCCTGAATATCATAAACATGTGACACTGATTTCCTCTTAGTTTTGAATGAAATATTGTTTTCTAATGTTAATAGATCATACGATTTCAGTATACCAATTAAGACATTACTTCACAGAGCAGCTTAAAATATGAAATATATTTTGGTTTTCTTTATTTGACACACTGAATTGCAATGATGTTAGGGTTGCGTTATTGCATTGTTTCCATAAAAACGATGCGTGATATATTGCTATATTCGATATGCATAAAAGCAATCATACTACAAGGTCGTCCACACATTCATAGTCTCCCCGTATCACCAAAGTATGTTCACAATTACATTGCCGGGTGAACAGTTTCATATAACCCAGGGAACACACAAGATAAATACATTATAAGAAACTGCCAGACGAATAAAGATCAATAGCTATATCATTTTATTGGTGTTTCAATGTTAACGTGCCGGCGCCAAAAGCTGCTCTTCGTCTGACATATCAAAGTAAACGAAACTCGTGGATGAATAGATGGACCACTAAAGCTTCACACAGTGTGTTGGAACCATGCAACTTGAACTGATTGTTCCAAGGGACAATATTCAGACAATAAATTAACTTATCCATAAGTTGCCATGAATTCTAGACACTTTACTGAAAACATGAGACGTGGACGATGGGTAAATAAAACTAGTTTACGATTCCAGGGCCAATTGATAACACTTGTGGTTTTCGCAACTGCCTCGAAGGTAATCGGTATCAAGGGACCGTGCCTTCAGAGACATTGCCAGCAAACCCAATACAAGCAATACATTAAACACTACTAAGTGCATATTTATGTTGTTTTAAATGGATTGTGTAATATTTCACCAAGGATGTTGAGGAATTGTTTAGAGTATAATAGGTAATATATCTTCAATAATGCCACCTTCATTTGGGAATATCATAAAAACGATTTTTGACTAGAATCTCCTGTCTGCGCTGTATCTTCCCTAAGGTGATTGGAGCTTTAAACATCACAGCTTCAAGACCACCAATCACATTAGGTCCACGTCAGTTCTTCATCTCACAGACAGTTCATAAACTGAGTAATTTGCTTTATAATGACGCCAATGGTTTCTCACATTCACATGACGCCAACGCTGCGTGTGTATACCTTATATTGCTGATATATGTCCTCAGCTGGAAGGAGAAACGGAAATTTGCTTTTAATGAATTTCTCTGGGAGGAATGCACCTTATTGCATTGTCTGTGTGAATCTGCTCAATGTATGAAGGGGAACTTTGACAAACGCCAACCAGTCAGTATATTACTTCACGATGTGAGCACATTGCCCTGGCCATGCGGTTACACAAGGTAATGGAGACCCCTACTCGTGCGCGAGCCATTGCTGGTTTATAAACTACAAGGGTCACAAATGTACATGACTGAAATTGTTCCAAGTTTGTTCGAAATATACTACCTGACATTCGAGGTTGCATTAGGCTTCTTTTTCATAAGATTAAATATTTCATATATATTTGTCAAAACTGAGGAATTCCATCACAAGGAGCAGTAGAGTTCCACCAAAGCAAAGAACACTAAACGCTCGTGGGAGTTAATCACATTGCTGAACTCACAAAAGGAGGTACGGATGTCTCCTCAACGGATTGTGGCGGTGTCGACGGCGTGTCTATGAAACTGATGAGAGGAGGAGATAGCTGGGACCTTTAGCCACTTAGAAATATTACACCGTCGGAGTGAAGGACAAGTTGAACCTAGTGCGACTTTTAGTCAACATTCTGAAAACATAGTGTTATAAACACGATCATATCTGACAGTTATTGATAAGTAAACATAACTGTATTTCGCTGGATCTGTGGTTATTTGATTAAGAAGTATCCTTCCAAATTAGTCCTGCATTAATCATGGACCTTAAACCTGGTTTAGAGATGAAACAAGCATTTACAAAAACACACCCCAGCAACATTGTAACACAGGAACCTTCGAATGATATGACAGAAGATACATTGACCGTTTTCAACCTTCACAATTAATCAGTGAGGGGGAGCCAGTTTGAGAACTACTGTTGATGTTTTGGTAGGACGTACTACTTCTCAAGTCGCTGACTCATCTAATGTTCCGCAGTCGCTCCTTTAGGCACGCTAGAAAGGGTTTATTCCCAAAAGTTAGACGTCCCAAAAGTCATACATCCCAATTGTCAGACAAATCAATCAGGCGTGACTGTGATTACAACCTAGTCTTACCCACTGATATAATGAACCTGTCCCATACACTAACGCGATTGTTTTCACATTTGTACAGAAATACTTTGATCAGAATACTAATGTTGACTGGCTTACTCAATCACTGGGTTCTCCAAATGTGTTTTTACAATGTTCAATTTTATCATAACAGGATTATGGATTTTGCATACTTGTTTTCACAACGTTCACTTTGATCAAACCAAGATTACAGATTTTTCATGCTTGTTTTTACGATGTTCACTTTGATCAAAACAGGATTATAGATTTTGCATGCTTGTTTTTACTATGTTCACTTTGATCAAAACAGGATTATAGATATTTTATTTTTTTGAGTTTTTATTAACCTATTGGAGTTACTTCCTCCCTAACATTGTTTTTCCAACATAAACAATATAAATAAAAAACATCTAAAAACTCCAGAAAATGCCATACACGGTAGAATTCTAAATTCCATCCTCTCTTTCTTAAATAACAGACAAATAACAATCAGATCCCCCAACACAATTTCGGACCCTTATCCCTTAGAAAATGGAACCCAACTCTATTCAACTTTATGACAAACGACAGCTTTCCAGAAAAACCAAATCCCAAAATTTCAACAGCTAAATGGGCAGACGACATTTCATGTTGGACCCCCTCTACGTCTGTAAAACAAACCACAATCAAAACCCAAACAATGTTAAATCATATTTCAAAATGTGAAATCTTAATTCTTGAATGATTTGATTGACCATTTGAATTATCTTAAATTAACTTATTTTGTTTTTGTGCCAATTAAAGTCATTACAAAGTCATCCATTGATCATTTAAATTATCTTGTTGAATTAATTTATAACTTATTTTGTTTTATGTCAGATAAAGTCATTGTCATTATCCATATTCTCTTCTCTTTGTGTTTGGATTAGTACATTTGGACTAGTCCATTAATTAACGACGGTAACAGTGTAGTGAACCTCAGTGCAACCAACCATAACCTTTGTTGTTTTGACGCGTCTAACTTTTTGGACGTCTAACTTTTGGAAGAAGAAGAATGAGACACTATGAGACACTAAATTACAATAAACAGTCTTTAAGAGCGCCACAGCGCTAAAATATAATAAAAATATATCACATAAGAGAGGTATAATAGTCACGGATATTTGTTTAAATTGATGAATTCCAGTCAGCGTATCGGCAATACTATAGTACGGAGACTGCCTTACTGCAAGTGACGAATGAGCTTCGTTGTGCTGTCGACGATGGTAGGATTGCTGCTCTAGTGTTGTTGGACCTCTCTGCAGCCTTCGACACAATCGATCACCATAGACTCTTGTCCAGGCTCACACAACAGTACGGACTTGAAGGTCATGCCCTTCAATGGGTGACGTCTTATCTGTCTGACCGACAGCAATCTGTTGTTGTTGGCACTGAGAGATCAAAAGGCACTGTAATCACATGTGGGGTGCCACAGGGATCAGTCCTTGGTCCAGTCCTGTTTGTGTTGTATACCGGATATGTCGGAAGGATTACTACAGACCACACAGTTTCTCATCATGCCCACGCTGATGACACCCAGCTCCTGAAGGCATTTCATCTGTCAGATCTATCTACGTCTCTTCAGTGCATCGCTGAATGTACGCAGTACATCAAGTGCTGGATGACAGGAAACATGCTTAAACTTAATGACACAAAAACAGAAGCAGTTCTCATTGGTACAAAGCAACAACTCAGCAAGGTCAAAACCGACACCCTTACAGTCGCAGACTCTGACGTCAGATTCTCTGATGTGGTTAAGGACTTGGGTGTCCACATCGACTCTTCCTTGACTCTGGATGCTCATGTTAACCGTCTGAGCAGAACCTGCTACTTTCACCTAAGATCCATTGGTAACATTCGGCAATACCTGACAACTGCTGCAACTCAAGCCCTTGTTCGAGCTCTTGTTACATCTAGGCTTGATTACTGTAACAGCATCCTTTCAGGCCTCAGTTCTAAACTCCTTGATAAGCTTCAGAAGATCCAAAATACTTCCGCCCGCATCATCAGCAAGACTTCTAAACGTTCCCATATAACACCAGTGTTGAA